ACTCTGGTTAGGATGTGCCTTCAGCCACTCCTTTTCCCTACCTGCCAAAGAAAAAGGAAATAATCTCAAATATGCAGATTCAAGATTTGCTGCTCTAAATCCAATGGTATCAATCAACTCATAAAAAATAGACAAATGAATGTAAGGGTCTTCATGATCCAATCCTGTGAATTGATGAGCACTAATCAAGCTTAAGAAAGCTGGATTCATCTGCAATGTCTGATCGTCCGGTACGACAATTCTGGAAAAGTGTCTTGGACCTTGCTACATAACATAGTTTCTAAGAGTTCTTCTAGGCGGATTTGAATCTGGATTTTGATTTGGATTTATATTTGGATTTGGATTCAGATTTGCTCCATCTTCTGCCATATCTTCTATAATTGGGTATGGTAAATTGAGTGTGGAAGAAGAGTTAACAGATTCTCTTGTGGCTTGTTCTTGAGTTTCCCTTCTTCTTCTACCTCGGTTCCTCCGAGCTGTTTTTTTAATCTTCAGATTAAATTCTAACTGCTCTGAAGATACCTGTCCTCTTAAATGCATACATCAAACGAGTAACTCAAGTAAATATTAACACAAGCCAATAATTAAGTAAAACTAAAACTGAAAAATAAAACAAACAGAAATAAAAATTAAATACTCAATAAGTTAAACAAAGAATTCTCAAAGAACACCGTTCCCCGGCAATGGTGCCAGAAATACTTGTTGAATTATTGGCAAGCGTACCAAAATTATCAATCGTAGTATAGTATTTTGATTAAATAAAAGTCGATCCCACAAGGAATGGTTTCAATGGAAATTCCCAATTATGCTTACTAAGTGGATTAAAACAGATTGAGTTTTGTAATAAGAGTTGAATTGAAATTAAATGACAAAGAACTGTAAATTGTTGAGAAAATATGAATTAAAGACACTTATGATTGATTTTCTTCCTTATCCCTCTTTTGTAATGGTATGTCAATTAAGAACGTAAATTAACCTAACAATGTTGATGCCACCTACTCAAATCATCCATGTTGATTCCTCACACATGAAATTCATAAGAAAACCTAATAAATGTTGATTCCTCACACAATTAAAAGATTTTCCAGCATTAGGTTTAGGGTGTTAAACAATTGATATATTCATTCCATTCCTGGAAATTAACATAACAAATATTCTTACCGTGATCTAGGGTTCAAGATATATTTTTCAATCATATCCCTAACATCAAGAATAAATCATTCCAAAGCACAAAGGATAAGAATAACAACATCAAAACATAGATTAATATCTCAAAATATCATCATGATACAAAAGAGTTCAAAGGAAGTGCACCCAATCCCAAGAGAATGAAGTTAGCCACTCATGTTGGCCATTACAATGCTCCAAATGTGGAAGAAGTGAAAAATTGATGAAGATTGGACGAAACCCTAGCAGTAGTCGCGCCTCTTCTTCTCCAAAACTGCTTGCTTTTCTCAAACACATCTTCTCTTTTTATAAGAAAATTGGGCTTTTGGGCTTCGCGTCTTTCACTCAAGCGACAAAACGCTCGCTTGAGCGAGTGAACTCCAGAGAAGAATAACTAACATTCGCTCAAACGAATTTTCTTGCGCTTGAGCGACTGACTTCCAGAGAAGAATAACTGATATTCGCTCAAGCGAGAGTCCATCTCGCTCGAGCGACTTCCATGCTGAAAATCTTCTTCCTTCTTCCAGTTTTACTCCAATTATGTTGACAATTATGCTTTTTACTCTTGTATCAAGGTATTCTCGAATTCATCCTATATTGGGAGAAAAATATATTAGAATTAGTGTAAGTTAAGTGGTTTCATAACAATTAAAGACATAATTATATCAACTTTTTACTACTTAACATTTAGTCTCACGCAATGTCCAAAGAATGACTTGGAACAAAAACAAATGAAAAATATCTCTTATGCATCTGTTGTTGGGAGTTTGATGTATGTTCAAACATCTATGGAGCCAGATATTAGCTTTGCAGTTGGTATGCTGGGTAGATACCAGAATAATCCTGGACTGGATCATTGGAAAACTGCAAAAAAAGTCTTAAGATACTTACAAGAAACAAAGAATCACATGCTTACTTATAGGAAATTTGATCGCCTTGAGGTGATTGATATACAGATTCAAATTTTGCTGATTGTATGGATACACGAAAGTCTATATTTAGTTATGTATATCTTTTAGTTGGAGGAACGATTTGATGGAAAAATGTGAAGCAGTCCATCATTGCTGCATTCATCATGGAAGTTGAATTTGTGGCATGCTTTGAGGCCATAGTTCAAACTAATTGGTTACAAAGTTTTATTTTAGGAGTTTGAGTAGTCGACAATATTATCAAACCGCTGAAAATTTATTGTGATAATTTCGCAACAGTCTTTTTTCTTAATAACGACAAGTATTCCAAAGGTGCTAAGCATATGGAATTGAAACACTTTGTCGTTAAAGAAGAAGTTCAAAAACAAAGAGTGACAATAGAATGTATTAGCACTGATCTTATAATTGTTGATCCTTTAACAAAAGGATTACCGTCCAAGTTGTTTATTGGTCATATAATGAATATGGACATTATGTTTACTAGTAAATGTTGAATGTTAATGTTATTATTAATGCTTATGTAACACTCTGAGATCTTTAATGTATAAGTTTTTGAAATTCGTGTTTTCTTCTTTATTTATATATATACAAATTATGATGAAAAAAACAAATTATGTTATTATTATTGAAAATGATATTATATTTGAACCCATTATAAACTTCTCATTATAAAGTCATATTAATGAGAAAGAGATAATATAGTAGTACATAGAAGGAAGCATGTCGATTGAATGACATGTAATCGCCATAACTCTTATTATAGTGGTATCCTTTAATGCGCATTATGTCTTAAGTATTATGGGAAGTCATAATAAAATAAAATAAAATAAAAACTAACCAACTTGATGAATATTGGTTAATAAAAGGGGATAAAGTTATTCTCATAGTAAATCATCAGAAAAGTGTGACAAGTGAAAGAAAGACAAAGGTAGATTAAGAAAATGGGTTTGGAGAACAAAACATTGAAGAACACATTCTCGTTAGATATCTCTCATGGATCAAGGTTAATCTCCTTATTATGATTTATATTATTGTGTGAGAATTATGAATCTAAAGATTTCTGCATAGTAGTTTTCTGAAATAAATGAGAACATAAAAAAACTATATAATGATTTACACAACTGCCACCGGACTTGACTGCTTCTCATTCCAGTTAGATCTCTCAGTTAAAACCGTTAGTGGTTTGTGTGACTCTCATCACACAGATTTACTGCTACCGGTCTCTTCTTCCTCATAGATTGCTGACATTCTCACTCACAAAATCTCTTTCTCTGTGTTTCAGAATATTTGTTTCAAATTAGGTATGACTAATATCCATAGCCAACTTGAGGAGGACTCTTATATATATATATATATATCATACAAAATCACGTTTCTACAATTCTTATATTTTGTTAGTTATAATCATTTTCTGTTATTCTTCCCTTTAATTTTTTATTTGTTATTATTATAAATATATATCTTTTCATTCTAAAAATTTAGGGATTTTATTTTGGTTATTACAGTTACTACTTGTTTCTTTCTTTACCATTTTTCTATTTTATGAGTTTTAACACGTTAATGTACATATTTCATTTGGTCCCCTGTTTACTAGCTTTGCAATCTCAATTTGATGGTAGCATTCAGTGATGTTTCCTTTTTAGTTGCTTCTGCATACTTTCTAAATGTATGGTCAATGTTATGCTGCATTGGATAACTTGTGTCAGGCATGCAGCAAATACAATCAGAAATTGCTTATTTATTTATTTATTATTTTAATATTTACATTAGTTTATTTTAAAATAAAAATGCAACTAAATATTTACTTCTATATTTACCTAAAAAATATGGAGGCAAAGGGTGTTGTGGATTGGACAATGTTGAAGCTACAAAATCATTGTGTAGTAGAGCTTCGTCTTTCTAAGTTTCAATTGTTACCTTCAAATATAGTTATTTATTTATATAGAAGTTCTACCAAGTTTTTTAAAAAGTATTCAATCCACAATTTTTATTTAAATATGAATTTTACCTTCAAATGTAAATAAGTAGCTGGAAATTTACGAAGGAACTAATTTTCAACTACTTCTATTGAAACAGAAAGAAATTAAACCTAATTTTGACAATTTAATCTCAATTCTATCAAAACCAAGATTATTTTTTTTATTAATTTTTAAACTAACTTTCACTCTCTACGAATAATTATTGGCATCTTAAAATTTGCAAACATTTCAGACACTAAGAGTAGTATCGGGTTGTTTTGACAAATCATAAACTCTGTTATTTTCTAGAACTGACATTTGGATGGTGAAATTTGTACAATGAAACTGAAGGAAGTCGTTGAAGAAAATTTTCTCATTAGTATTCCTACACATGGCAAGATTTTTTTTAAGAAAAAAAGAAAATAGTTCTCGATTTTCTTGCGCTTGTGTTAAATTTTAAAAAATTGACTCTTAATTTTGTAGACGTGAATCTATTTGATAAAGATTTTTTTATTAGTAGTTTATTTTGTCTTTAAGGATTTAATATTGATGAATGGAATACTTTAAAGTTTACACTTTAAAGAATTGTTAGACAAAATTATGTTTAATAAAATACTTCGAAATTGTCTTGTTATTTTTCATTTATATTTGTATTACATGACAAATTTATGTAAATTATTATCTTGGTTATTTTTCATTTAAACTTAATATATTATTATTTTTTTCATTTATACAAAAAAAAAAACTGGATTTCGTTGAAGATAGCCTGGTGTGCAGAAGTAACTAGAAAAGCAAAAGCATTGCATTATTGTAGACAGACTATTATTTGAAAAATTAAATATAAATATAATGTAATTAAAATTCATATACAAATAAAAACTACACTTGAATGTAACAATGGAAAGGGTTGAATTATTAAATTACAGATAGACTAATTTGTAGAAAATTAGGGAAGAGCTTCTTTGAAAAGATAGGACGCCAAATAATTATAGGATGCTTGAGTTAGATGTGCATTGTCCCAAAATACATATTTGGAACGGTCATCGCACAAATGTGAAAGTCTATTACACAAATATTTGAAATGGTCAATTTGTTGGGACAATGATAGAACCTTGGTCAGAGATCCTGTTATTTCATCTATTCCACCTCCCGCCGAAGCAAAACAAACTCCCCTTAAGAGTTCTTCATCGGAAAGATTTGGATACAAAAATGGAGGAACAAACTCTTTGATATTTAAAGCATTTGCAATAAAATCTGAAACCAATCTTCCATTGGAAAATCTTCCGGTAGCAATTCCACCTGGAAGATCTATTCCATAAGGCCAAGAATTTGCCTTAGGCAGACATGGAAGATATTGATTATTTCCGGAATCTACACTAGAGTCTCCGAACACAAGGATAGATGAAAAATTAAAATTTTCAGGTGGATTACTCTTAACCAGAGTAATGGTAAAAAGAGACATCAACCTTACAATATAGAATATGAGTGCCATTGCTATAATCTTCACAACTATTTTCTTAAGAAAATTTGGAGCGATACCTCTAATCAACCATTTTGGGTTTTATATTGAATTTTGAGAAGTACATTAATGAATACAACTTGCTATGGTGGCATGCGTGCAAGCGTAGGATAACGACATCAACAGTGTGATATAGAAATTTTCAATTCTTAGATAATGAGTTGTGCTGTTTGTGGTGGCAAAATGACACATAATGCTGTAATGAATGAACCGCACATGTATTTTTCAATTCTCGATGAACTTCAATCAATGCATGATGAAAAGTTATATGAAGACTTGTGAGGTTTACGTGCATATCTAAGGAAACATTTGTTTAGTAGTAATTCTAAAGAGTCCAATATATGTTTGCTTCAATCAAGTGATGCAGTGTTGCAGTTTCAATTTGATGGTAGCAGTCAACGCTGTTTCTTTAGTTGCTTCTTCACACTTTCTAGATGTTTGGTCAATTTATGCCACATTTTGCGATGTAAATTTGATGCTCTGTAGACATGCATGCAAGCCCCGGACAATGTTATGCTGCCTTGGATAGCATGTGTCACACATGCACCAAATAATTTAATTCACTTCATGTAAATATAAATAAAATAGAGAATATACATCAATAAGTGAAAAATCAAACAAAAAATTAAAAATTAAATGAACAATTAATAATTTCTTAAACTGAAGATAATAATAACTATATTTTACAATAATTAATGTATTTTTTTTACTTAAATATCAAATTTGGATGAACAATTAAAAATATCAAATTTGGATGAAAAATAAAAATATCAGAGAGCAAGATATAACAATACTTTACGGGAAATTTAAATATAGTAGTATATAATTTTAATTATTTTAAATAATTAGATATATATTTTGAACATGGTGTTTGTAAAAACTTACTAATAAATATTTTTAAGAGATAAAAATAAGGAAAAAAATAATTAAGAACATATTTTTATAAATTAAAATTATGTTATAAATTGATTTGTGGAATTTATAGGTTTTTCAAAAAATTTATTTAACTTTTACATAAATTAATTTAGTTTATAATTTTTTTCATATTTTTTTTACTTCTTACAATTTGTGAAGAAATATGTCAACATTGTGTATTATAATTATTCTAAGGATGAATCCCCATTTAATTAAATTAACTTGCATTTCTCAATGAGTTTTAATTAAATTATTCGAAGTCTAATGATAATCTTACTTTCTATTATATTAATAGTATGATTATAACTATTAGTACATAATCTTAACTTTTTTAGGTTTATCAAGTTATCTTTTGAGTACAAACTAACTATATAATTTTATTATTACTATCATAATTTAAATTATATAATTTAATTTAAATAATGAATATTTATAATTGTATAATTTTATCAAGTTATCTTTTTAGGTTTAAATTATGATATCATAATTTAAGATTATATAATTTAATTTCATTATTACTAATCTTCTTCAAATTTAAGATTATATAATTTAATATAAATAATGAATATTTATTTCATAATTTTTGTCATAATTTCATCATAAAAAAATATAAATTATATTTAAAAAAATAAAGATAAAAAGAATTATAAACTAAACATTGAGGTTAATTTTAAACCTTTGTATTAGTAAAATTATATAACTAGAATAAGATAAATAACGTAGAAAATAGAAATTTACCTCTCCTCGTTAAAAATTGATAATGAAGAATAATTTATTATTAAAATAATCAAGTTATTTAACTATTTTTATATTATTAAATAGTTAATATTAAATTATAATTTTTCATTATAAAAATTTAAATATTTTAAAATAGGTATACCTTGAATTGTTTTAAGAACTGGAAACTATAAATTTAAATATTTATATTTATATTTATATTTAAATATTAATATTTTAAAAATATTTTTTTCTTTTTTTATGATATATAATGTTATTATTTTTATATTTTACTAATTTTATTTTATCCACTTTTTAATTATTTTATATCAATTAGTCTATTATATTATATATAATTAAATTTGTGAATATAATATTATTATTATAATAATAATAATATTATTATAAATATTATATATCTATATAAAAAATAATGATTAAATATTTATTTTAATATAAATATATATAATAAATTAAAATATATATTTAATTAATAATAATTACAAATTATGAAATTAGAAATATTTATTTATTTTTTTAAAAATAATGTAGATGGGGAATGAGGAAAAAAAAACTAAAAAATAAGAAGATGAGAAATTAATTTTTAACCCGAAAACAAGAATAAAGAAGATTAAAAAAAGTCGGACAGGTAAAAAAAAAAAGTATATTATGTCTCAAAAGTGGCCAACATAGTGTCTATCTAAATGAAAAAAATAAAAAAAAGTTATAAATAAACAAAATGATATATTCTGTTTATATTTTTCTATTGTGATATTCTTATTATTATTTTTACATATTCAAAATTTAATCACAAACTAACTTGTTTACCGCAGTCACGATTACCAACTTTTTAATCCAATAACAACGATAAAATCATTTTAAAACCTAGAGATCAAAACTACAGAATATCAAAGTATGTTATTGATTTTATTATTTTGTTTTAACGTTAGGATGTAAGCTTTACAATTCTCAATTTATTGAATACAGACTATGAGGGAGAAACTCCATTGGAAAAATCCTCCCACGTCAATTCCAACCGGATAATCTATTCCATAAAATTAAGAATATGCCTTAAAGATTTTAAATATATTTATTATTTTCAAAATCTAAAATAAATCTTAATAAATAAGAATAGATGAAAAATTGAAATATAAAGATGGATTAGTCTTCACAAAATACTACTAAAAAAAGACATTAACAATACAATATAAAATATGAGTGTCTTTGCTATAATCTTTACATCTATTTTAAAATAAAAATAAAAATTAAGTGATCACTCGTAATAAAACATTTTTTAGTTTTATATTAACTTTTAAATAGGTTTAATGTTATTTCTTGGTATACAAACTGATTAAGCGGGAAGTAACATTTGCTAATTTTTTTAATAATGTAAAAAGAGAATTAATCTTTATTTTATTGTGTAATTATAATTTGCTTACAGGTTAATAATAAAATTAGAAATAGGTCAATTAGTTATATTAATAAAGTTCTTATAGTTTTACTTTGTTTTCATATACGTACTACTTAATTAATATATATATATATATATATATATATATATATTAATGTTTAACACTAATGAAATTTTATCTGATATAAAGTAACATGCTATGGTGGCATGCATCCAAGCTTAGGATAAGACTTGCAAGTGTAAGATAACAACATTAACATAGTAATATATACAATTTTTCAAATCTGAATGAACTTGAATGCATGAAAAGTTAGATAATGACTTGTGTGGTTTGTGGCGGCAAAATGACACAGAATGTTGTAATGAATCGCATATGTATTTTTCAATTCTCGATGAACTTCAATCAATGCATTAAAAGTTATATAAAGACTTGTGAGGTTTACATGCATGTGTAATGAAACCTTTTCTTAGTAGTAATTATAAAAAGTCCAATATATATTTGCTTCTCTTAACTGTATCATATTTGCAAGAAAATTAAATTTTCTCTAACAAATCATATTTCCACATTTATTCTATTTTTGTTGTTCCAACAATTTTCTATTATGGTCTCATATATTTATTATGATAATAGAGATTTTCAATTGAAGAGCTCTGCTGTACACTCTCATCTACCATCTTCCACTTTTATCGTGAGTGGAAACACAAAACATATTTCTAATATCAATAACCATTTATTTTTATATCAAAGTGAAAACTCAACAATTATTCTAGTCTCACCTGTCATTGATTCTAGTAACTATTAGTCATGGAGCATATTCATGATCACTGTTGTACTGCTAAAAACAAAGTTGAATTCATTGATGACAGTGCTCCTCAACCACCGAAATCAGATCCAACATATGTAGCATGACATCGATGCAATTATATAGTTGTGTCATGGATTGTTCGTTTTATTTCTCTCTCAATCCCACAAAATATCCTATGCATGAATCAAATTAATAGATAAAATTTGGAAGGATTTGAAACTCAGATATTCTCAAGGTGATCTTTATTTTGTCTCTGATTTACAATTTGAAATCTTACTTATGAAGCAACTTGAGTTTAATCTTAGTGAATATTTTATTAAGCTGAGAGTTATTTGGGATGAACTTGAAAATTTTAGACTAGATCCAGTTTGTATATGTCAATCCAAATGCACTTGTTGTTTCATCTATACTTGCTCAACGAAAACTCGAAGATTGAGCTATGCAATTTTTACAATGATTAAATGAACAGTACAATAATATTCGTTCACACGTTCTTCTCATGGATCTTTTACTATCTCTTTCTAAAATTTTCTCCTATGTCTCAGCAAGAGAGATAACTTGCAGGAAACAATTTTTTCATCAATGTAAGATTTGACACCAAAGAAACAGTGGTTAATGTTGTTGCTGCCTCTGTTCACTGTACTCATTTAGGATTTGACACCAAAAAACAATGATTAATGTTGTTGCTATCTCTATTCACTATACTCATTGGGGACGTACATGTCATAATACAAGTGTGTGTTATAGGAAACATGTGTTTCCTTCAAATAATGACAATATATAAAACTAGTAAAAGATTTGTTAATCACAATACTAAATTTTACTCTCATTGTGGATGTACAGGGCACACAACTGACATGTGCTATAGGAAACATGATTTTCTCCAGGACATCATAAATTCTACAGTGGTGATAAAATCGCTCTCAGCAATAACATGGTGACTGGTTGAAGTAAAGTCACTACTGACCAACAAAATCATAAGAACCAAGAATTTTGCTTATCTCCTCAGTAGTATCAAGTACGACTAACTTTAATTCAGCAATCTTAGTTTGCATCTTCTGCTCCCAATATATTCCACATCAAACAAATTGGTACCATTTCTTCCTCTGATCAATAAGGTAAATTATCTCTCCTCTTCACTTATAATTTTCACTCTTACCTTAAAATTTGATCCTGTAGTTGTTAAGTTGCCTATTGGTCAATATGGTACAATTGATGTAAAAGGTGGACTTTACTAACTTGTTCTCAAACCTACTATTTTCTCATATATTTTATCTAACATTGTTTATCCTTAATGTAAACATTTACCTACTGATCTTTGACATTTTCTTTTCGGCCATCTTTTGCGTGATCATTTACCATCTATGAAACAGTGTTATCATTGTTTATCTGGTGATATAACTTTTGTTTGTAACACATGTTACCACTTAAAACAAAAGAAATTATAATTTTCATTAAGCAATTCTCATGCAGTTAAACCTTTTGAACTATTGCATATGGATATCTAGGGGCCATGTTCGAAATTATCTATGCATTGACATAAACATTTTTTAACAATTGTGGATGATCACACATGTTTTACATGGATCTATTTATTGTTTTCTAAAATTGAAACACAAACACATATCATCAATTTTATCACTCATAGAAAATCAATTTGAGACTCCTGTTAAACACATTCACATAGATAATGGTGCTGAATTTCTTATGAAAACAAAAAATCATGTGAAACCTAGAAAACCAAAAACCCTGACCCAAAAACCCATAAAAGCAAATAAACCATGTGTTTTGGAAGACAAAATTGAAACTCCAGTTGCTGTACCAGATAGCAAAAGAGCACAAAGGACAAGATTTCCTTCAAGCATATTTGTAAATCATGAAGTATATGGTGATGATATGATCACAACATGGTGATTTGTTTCATCAGGCGCTTATTGTATGTTTGTATGTAGATGATTTAATCATCACAAGAAATGTGGCTATAGAGATTGAAGAATTTAAAGAAAAGATGAAGTCCGAATTTGAGATGACAGATTTAGTTCTCCTAAACTACTTTCTTGGCCTGGAATTTGTGCATACTCACAAAGGAGTATTTATGCACCAAAAGAAGTATGCAAATGAAATTCTAAAGAGATTCAAGGTGGAGGAATGCAATGAGGCTGTAATACCAGTTATGACTGACCTAAAATTGACTGAAGAAAAGGGAGCAGAAGTTGTTGATGCAACCCTATACAAGCAAATTGTGGAATCTCTTAGATTCCTATGCAATAACATACCAGAATTAAGCTTTGGGGTAGACTTAATAAGCAGATTTATGCATGATTCTAGAGTCCCTCATATGGATGCTGCAAAGCACATCTTGAGGTACTTAAAAGGGTATTACAGATTATGAAAATTTCTTTCCTAAGGCAGGTGAATAAAATGAAACAGTGCTGAAAGCTTAATCTGATTCAGATTGATGTGGAGACAAGGTGGAGAGAAGGAACACTTACAGGTATCCAATTAGGTACCAAAATGCACCAATTTCATGATGCTTTAAGATACAAAAGGTTGTCGCTCTCTCTTCATGTGAAGCAGAATACATAGCTGCATCTGAGGTAGCTTGTCAAAGTCTATGGTTGGAGGTACTACTGGAGGAGTTAAAACTAGTTTACCAGAAACCAGTTCAACTACACATTGACAACAAATCAACTATCAATTTGTCAAGAAACCCTATTCTACATGGAAGAAACAAGCATATTGACACGAAATTCCATTTTCTTCGTGATCAAATTATGCAAGGAGAAACTAACCCTACTCTATTGCTATACTGAAGATCAAACATTAGACATTTTCACCAAATCATTAAAACAAACTCAGTTCGACAAGCTCAGCAGACAAGTCGGGATGACTAGCTTAGGGCTTTTGGATTAAGGGGGGTGTTGATTGTCTAATCCAAAATTAGTTTAAGATTATGTTATTTTGTTAAGACCGGAATAAGCTCCTATAAATATAATCATTTTTCTACTGTAAAATAATTACAAGTTAATAAACAAAAAATACTTATTTTCTCTCAATGATAATTTTTCTCTATGCATATTCTTTTTCTTTCCTCGTGTCCTGTGAGTGTATGTTTCTTCACTCAAAACAAAGAAAATCATTTTACTTTTTTATTTTATTTTTTAAATCAGATTGCTATATATAAGTTTGTACATAATTTACATATTTTATTTTGTTATATATATTGAAAGATAAAAAAATAAAACAAAATGATTGAGTATTATATTACACAATATCTAAATAAAAAAATAGACAAATTGTAAATAAACAAAATTTATGTATCTTCTGTCTATATTTTTTTTATCTTATGATTTTCTTATTATTAACTTTATAAAATGCAGAATTTAATCATAACATAAATAGCTTTAGCTTACCTTAATCATGACTATAATGCTAAGAGTGGAAATACAATCAGATTATGCAAGATCTAAAGCTCCAATTACAGGCTAATCTCCTTGTACGCAAGATTGTATATGCAAACTTATCCGTTATGCAAGATTGGTAGTTACTTCTTAGGTACTTTTGGTTCCTAAAAAGTACAGAGGAAAGAGGAAAGGGTGCAGTGGATTGGGCTATGTTAAAGCTACAAAATATTTGTGTAGTAGAGCTTCATCTTTGTGTGATAGTAATTCCAAACATGCATTATGGGATAATGTGCATCTAAGTTAAGTATCTTATAGTTATTTGGTGACCTATCTTTTAAAAAGATGTTCTACCCAAGTTCTTTGAAAAGTAATCAATCTACAATTTAATTTTCTAAGTTTCAATTTAAACAACTAAGGGGGAGGAAGCCCAGCCACACCAATGTTTATGCATCCTTGGTCATATAGTTCCTATACCATCACATAAAAAAGAAATACGTAATTTCACTCTTTCATTTTTTAAACAAACATAATTTACATATTTTCATTTTTTTTATATTTAAAAGATAAAAAAAATGATTGAGTATTGTGTTACAAAAGTAGCTAATATAGTTTCTATCTAAATGAAAAAAAAATATAAATAAATTTTTCTTACCTCAATCATGACTACAACTTATCAATTAAATAATTTTGATAAGTGTCAATGATATGAAAAACCACCTTGTAATCAAAATATCGTTGAAACTAATGATGACTTTATCCGAACTTCCAAAAAGATCAAAACAAGAGAATCTCGAAGTATTTTTGTAAGCTTCATTTTCACCAACAATTTGTTTTAGTTTTAGGACGTACACTTTAAAATGCTCAATTTGTTGGGACAATGATAGAACATTGGTCAGAGATGCTGTTATTTCATATATTCCAGCTCCCTCGAAGCAAAACAAACTCCCCTTTAAGAGTTCTTCATTGGAAAGATTTGGATTAAAAAATGGAGAGAAACTTATAGCAATGGCCCTCTAGAGGCAGATGGGGCCCTTAGCACAGTGGAAAAGAGGTCCAAAAGAGGACACAAGCAACCCACTTACCTTTGTGACTACGTTACCAAATAACAATATCTCTAAGTGATTTAGTATTTCTTTCTTTGCTGAGTTGTAATTTCTATTAGAGATTTCCTTTCCAGTATGTGATATTTTCTGTTTTTTCAACCCATGAGACGCCAATCATTTGATGACTGAGTATTGTTAAATACGGAAGAAAGGAATGAAAAGAGTAAGAGAAGCATTTTCATTTTCTCTCTCTATTCTTCTAGGAGGTCCCTTGTCCTCAAAACCAAGGCAATTCTTTATCCGTAACAATTTTGTGCTTTCATTGAGCTCATTTCCATGGCTGAACACAACACCCGTTCCAAGACCATCGACGAAGCCATCCTCCGCCTCACCCAAAATCAAACCATCCTCACCAACTCTCAGAATGAGCTTAACTCTAAGCTCGATTCCATCATCACCCAGCTTTCTCAACCTAACCCTCCTTCCCCCCCACCACTTAACCACTCTTCCACTTTCTTCAAGCCTCACATGAAGTTAAACGTCCCACGATTTGATGGCCATGATGCTACGGGATGGATCTTTAAGATTAATCAATTTTTTGAATTCCATTCAACCCCGGATGACGATTGCCTCAAGGTGGTTTCCTTTTATATGGAAGGTGCCGCTCTCAGCTGGTTTCAGTGGATGCATAAGAATGGTATGATTCAATCTTGGCCCAGTTTTCTTCAAGCTCTTGAAACACGCTTTGCTCCTTCCTATTATGAAGATCCTCGCGGTCTTCTTTTCAAGCTCACTCAAAAAGGTACTGTTAATGATTACCTTACTGAGTTGAACGATTGACTAGTCGTATTGTTGGTCTTCCTCCTTCCTTTCTCTTGAGCTGTTTTATTTCTGGACTCTCACCTGCAATAAAACGTGAGGTTTTGGCATTGCAACCTCTCACCTTTACGCAGGCTGCTGCTTTGGCCAAGCTACAAGAGGATAAGTTTCAGGATTTGCATAGTTCTGCATGGCCTCGCCCTTTTCTGCCACAACCACTTTCCTCCGTCCCCTCTGGTACTCCGACTCGCCCTCCTCCACCTTTACTGCCTTCTCCTCCCAAGACCAATTACAAGAAACTCACTCATGAGGAGATGTTAGCCCGTCGAGAGAAAGGGTTGTGCTACAACTGTGACGAAAAGTTTCACCCTGGACATCATTGCAAGGCTCGCTTCTTTCTCTTAGTTGCTGAGGTTCATGATGATGAGACTTCCATTTCCTTGGAGCCTTTGACAGATCCTGAACCAGATTCCCTATCCCTTGAAAATGCACCCCAAGAGCTCTCTTTAGCCCAAATCAGTTTCAACGCCTTATCAGGCCTTCCTACTCCAGAAGCCTTTCGACTATTGGGCCTTATCTCTAAGAAGCAAGTGATGATCTTAGTTGATGGTGGAAGCACGCATAATTTTATACAGGATCGTGTGGCTAAATTCCTCAATCTGCCCATGTAACCCACACGTCCTTTACAGGTGATGATTGGCAATGGTAGTGTTATTGAATGCCTTCATGTGTGTCCTAATGTGCAAGTCTCCATTCAGGATCACGTTTTTGTTTTGGACTTGCATGTTCTACCTATTAGTGGTGCAGATGTGGTGTTCAGCATCCAATGGCTTAAGCCATTAGGCCCTATAGTTACTGATTATTCCCAGATGTCTATGCGTTTCTTGAAGGATGGCCACTTTGTTGAATTAAGGGTGAATGCCCCACCTGGGCCTCAAGACATTTCGACCCACCAACTTAAACGCATCTTTCAAACTAATTCGGGGACCGCTTATTTCCATATATAGGTTCTACCTTCCTCTTCTCCTTCAACAATGACCACTAACACTACCCCTTCACACACCAATCCTCATA